AAAGACTGAAACCATTAGCTTTTAGCCCCTGCTCCAAACTCTGGTCCCTAGTTAATGACCCCATCTCTCTTACTAGTAAGAGCCTGAGATTGAATCAGTCTATTCACAATTTTGGTATCATGTTTGACTACAAAATCTGTTTGTGACCATACATTTCCACCTCTGAAATGAAGCACAACTTCACCCTATTAAGAGTTTATCTATTGGTAAAACTCCCATTCTTTCTTTTATTACTCCTGCAAATGATCATTCCACACTCTGCTATCTGTAAGCTTGAAGACATTCAAAATTGTAAAATTGGCTTTCACTTAACTCACACCAAGTCCCATTTACTTATCACCCCTACACTTCCTAGCCTACACTGGCTTCCAGCCAAGCAATATTTTGATTTGAAATTCTCATCCTTGTTTTCAAATCCTTTTGAGGTCTCCCCTTTCCCTATCTTTGTAATTAAATCCAGTCTCTCAACCTGCCAAAGGTACCTGTTCTCATCTAATTCTGCCCTCTTCCTCAATTTCAATTACCCTAACAGTGGTGGTTATACAGTCATTCGGCTTGGCCCTACACTCTAGAATTCCCTTCTTCAATCTCTTCATCTTCTACCCCACTTTCCTCCTTAAGACATTCCTTAAAAACAAACTCTTCCAGCAAGAAATTGTGAAGTTTTATTCTGTTTAAGGTGCTATATAAATCTAACTTGACGTTGTTCCTCAGATCATTCTGCCAGCTGATGTATCTTGTACATCTCAGTCTCAGCTACCCAGCAATGTAAGGCCAAGAAAGTGGGAACTGCCACTGTACTGGTCACCACTCTGACACAAGCAAATTGGTCCATTAGTGAAGCTGTATCTTGGAATTTGTGAAGGGATTGGGAAGGTCATGTTTAACAAATCTGATCCAATTTTTAAAGAAGGTCAACAGGATTGTTGATGAAGGCAATGCACTGATATGGTCTACATGGACTTTAACTAGGCTTTTGATAAGGTCCTTCATGGTAGACTAGAGCTCACTGCATCCACAACAAAGTGACACAATGGATCCAAAATTGGTTGAGAGGATGCAAGTAAAATGTGATAACAGATAAAAGTTTTTGTGACTGGAAATCTATTTCCACATAGAGCTCCACACAGCCTGTACTGGGGCCCTAATGGTATACATTAATGATTTGTATGTAAGTGTAGGAGATATGATTAAGAAATTTGTAGATGACATGAAAATTGATAGGACGGTAAATAGTCAGGAGGATATCCGTAAACTGCAGGATAATGTTAATGGACTAATTAGATGGGCAGAACATTGGTACGTGGAATTCATCCAAAAAAACGTGAAGTGGTTGGGGAGGTAACAAGGTAAGTGATTACACTATGAATGAAAAGCACCTAGAAAGTATTGAAGATCTGTGGGACCTTGGATTGTAGACTCACAGATCCCTGAATGTAGGTAAGCCAGGTAGGCTAGGTGGTTAAGAGGGTATTTAGGATATTTGTCTTGATTAGCTGAGACATTAAATACAAGAATAGGGAGTTTAAACTGGAATTATATTAAATTCTGGTTATATCACAACTGGATTATTGCATTTCCAGACACCAAATTATAGGAAGGGTGTGATTGCACTCGAGAGGGTGCAGATGAGATTTACTATGATGTTATCTGGGCTGGAGAGTCTAAGCTATAGGGAAGGATTGGCCAAACTGGGGTTATTTTCCTTTGAGCAGTGATGGTTGAAGAGCAACCTAATAGAGGTATATAGGATTACAAGGGATATAGAGGGGGTGGATAAGAGGGTATCTTCTATCCATCATTAAAGGGGTCACTAACTAGGGGTGATAATTTAAGACAAGAGGTGGAAAGCTAAGAGGAGAGCTGAGGAGCAATTCTTATCATCCTGAAGATGGTGGGAGTCTAGAACATACTGCCTGAAAGGGTGGTTGAGCCAGAAATTCTTGTAATATTGAAGCAGTACTTAGTTATTCACTTGTGTTACCGTTACCTTTGGAGTTATGGGCTAAGAGTTGGATGATGGGATTAATGTAGTCAGATCAGTGTTGACTGGCAGACATGATGGGCCAAGAAACCTCCTTCTGTGCTATAAATGTCTCTAAGTCTGTAAGACTCAAAAAAAATGTGGAAATTCCAGGGAGACAGATTAAAAGTACAAAGTAGTGAAAATTGCTTTCACCCAAATTTCCTCAGTTATAAAAAGATCTGCTTAATTCCTACATATCAAAATTGACAAGGAAATTTACCCATCATATCTTCATATAAATAAATAAAACGTGTATTTCCTTAACCCCTTTCTTGACCTCAGGACATCCTAAACAGTTCCACAGTTAATTAAGTATAATCGAAGTCTATCATTGCTACAGCACAGGACAAGTAACAAGTAGTTTGTAGATAGCAATAATCTATGTAATTTATTTTCTCAATGTAGATGGTAGTTAAAAATCATGCCTGATACTGGGGAGAAGTCCATTGCTGTTCTTTGGAATAATATCATGGAACCCTTTACATCCACCTTAGCAGACAGATGGTGCTCCAGTTCGCAGGGTCCTCTGAAAGGCAACATCTTTGACAGGACAGCAATACCTAATGAGAGTATCATCTTGTATTTTGTTTTCAAGTTAATGGAGTTGGATTTGAACTCACAGCCTTCTGACTAATCAGTGATGTTATCAAACTACCACTGATACTTAATAGGTCTACCTACAAGATGTTTCTTGTTACTTCACAAGCACAAATTGAAGTAAAAAAAAAATGCAATGGCAAAGAGGACACTTATGTTGCTGCATGCAATTAGGACCTGTTAACTTGTCACCCAGGACTATGTTCAATGTCCGCAGTGAGTCAGGCAGAAAATTGGATCAAATCAAAAAACTTTCCTTGTACTTGGGTCTAGGAAACAAATGTTGTCATATCAAGCAGTGATCAAGTCTCACACATCACATCATGAATTTTGCATTGGTTAACATATAAAAAAAAAATTGTTTGACCTCTACTGAAAAACACATTGAATACATGGAGCTAAGATTCACTCTCATTCTAATTTAGTTTTACAGTTATGGAGTTGGTTTAATATAAGTTACACTACATCCCTCCCAACTTAATAAATCTCTTACAAAATTATGTCAATGTACATTTATGCTAAAATCTATATCTCAATTTATCTTCTGGATGCTAGCGATAATTATAGAAGCAAGTCATGTGATAATTATCTGAGTGAAAAATATAAAATAATCACTAGCTTTACCTGCTAGAAAAATGGTGGTTAAATATAACCATGACAAGCTATGCTTAACTAATCATACAAAGAGCTCCACACTGCAATTTGGTCAATAACTTTCTTTAACTTTCGCTGTAAATTAAATGTCATACACTCAATGATACATTCCACTGGTTGACTTGTGTGAACTTGCTGCTGTCCTATTCCGAGCTTTGATTTTTCATTCTGGTTAAAGGCTTCTCATAATGCTTCAACACTTTTCCCTTTGCTTCTTCCCCTTGTTAAGTCTCACACCATTAACATCCATATTTTCTTCATCAGTTAGCTATTCTAGATAAGCACGTTGATGTGAATATTTTTAATGTTACTTTTTTAGTTAATACACCAGAGAATTTGTTTCAGTATGAGAAATAATTCATTCTCACCAACCTTCCTCCCAAGAACATACCTTCACATAATCTAATGAACAGTTTCTGATTGTAATTGAATTTGATTGGATTTTAAACTTGGGTCCCACGGTTCAAAGTCTAGTGTTAACTGATGAACAATGCACCGATTTTACATCCTGTGTACTTGTCCTAATTAGCTGAATTAGCATTCTGAAACTGTTAAATTAAAACATATTCAATACAGCAGTACTGTCAGTGAAATAACAGGAGAGCATACAAGTGTTTAGAAATTTATATTACTGCAAGTCTCTAAATTTCTTTCCAGATACATTCAGTGGCAACTTTAATCTCTGTTAATGAACTGGAAGCCTTACTAATATATGTTCAGCAATAACAAAACAATCCCGTGATCTTGGACAGTATCAAATGTAATGTGTTGCTTTCACTTGTAATGTATTCTGCAGATCAGCTGAGCGTTCTGCTCCTGAACTTATTTTTGAAAGTGGCAATGTGGCAATACACAGTACCTGTGGAGCTACTCTCTGGAACAATTTAATAGATTTTTTGAAAAAATGTGTCGATTCCTGTAGGCAAAATATTTCAATGCCACCAGGATCTTCCAAGTACCTTGCTTGAGTGAGCATACATCCCCAGTAAACTTAGAAAAAGACCATAGCAGGTTATTCTCAAATAGCAATTTTGCACAGATAGGAGTATCATGTGAGTGATACTCTGGATAACAAATGGCTATCTAGACAGACACAATATAGAGACACAGGTATACAGACACAAATAATATCATATTGCCTTGGGGTTTCCACGATTAGTAACTCCAAACATTTCTAATTTGTTCCCTGACTTAGCTAATTGCCTTTGAGTACAAAACCTGCACAGAGAAAAACAAAATATTGACCACAATGGGGGAAAAACATGATTCTTCCGAGGATTGTATAACAAATGCTAAAGATAATTTTGAACTAAATTTTCCTGATTGGATACAGAATGGTCACAATTAACTTTGTACTAAGTACTGTGTTTACATGGCTGCATTTATGCATTGAGAAAATGCATTCATTTTAGTTCGAAAACAAGACTCTCCAAAATACTGAGAAAACTTGAGTTTCAAAAATTCTTTGCACCTACATGAAAAGACCATGGATGAATAATAGGCAGTTCTAAGAGCTGGCATAAGCCCAATGGGTATCTTTCTATGTTGGAACCCTCTTACAATTTCAGGAAGAATGTACACCCAATTCAATAATAATATAAAGTAAATACAATTGGTTGAAATGTTTAATACTTTCTTTTAATAAACATGCACATTTTGTTTTACATGTGGTTATTAATTTTATTCAAATATTTTTTCTGTAATCAGATTATTCCATACTTACTCCCAGAACTCAATGACAGGAGAAGTTGCATTTGGTACAGCTGCGTGAGTGCAATTGGTAGAATTCAGCTTCTGAAACTCTACACAGTTTTCTTCAAGAAAAATAAAAACAGTCCATAACTAAAACAGTAATTATTAATTAGTGAAAATTAATGCTTGCATATTGGCACTTTAAAAGTTATTGCAATTAATGCTATCACAGAGGGGTGGCAGTCTGCACACCTTACCTGTGTTCCAAGTATGTCCACAGGTAGCCCAAGGGAGTTCAGTTGTAAAGCAGTTGAACAGGTAAAATATGGCCCAGGCCAAAACAATGATGTAAAACACATTCAAATGTGCTTCAATCACCTGAGTAGCATACCCGATACCTGCAAGTGAATAGCAAGCAATAGCTTACTGGTTTCTGAAAGCTCTGTATCGATGCCAGTCACGTTCAAGCTAAAGGCAGCACGAGTTACCTTCAAAAAGCGGACAAACTTTCCTCCAGCACGTTATTCCTCCCTCGCTGGTATACTGGCCCAGTGCAGTCTCCAGGAAAAACACCGGTATGCCGCAGCCGATGAAAAAAATCACATATGGAATAAGGAAGGCCCCTGGAAAGGAACAAGGGCAACAAGACTAACCACAAGTTGTTAGAATTTGTCACTTCTTTATATGACTCTAGTTACCAGTGAAGTGCTCCTGAGTTTATATTACTTTCGGACAGTGCAACTTATTTACACACACACTATAGTTAGACGCACTATATAGACATCGTATACTACTGCTTTTCCCCCGGGATTCGGGGCATTTTGCTTTGTAAAACATAAATAATTCAGCGACTATGCTAATTAAAAATATGAATTTAAAGATGAAAAGCAAATAAATTCCGTATAACGGTACCGCCTCCGTTCTTGTAACAGAGGTATGGGAATCGCCACACATTTCCTAATCCAATGATCTCCCCAGCCACAGACAAGACAAATTCGATTTTGTTATTCCATTGGCCTCTGTCTGACACTTTCTTGTCGTTGGTACGAACTAAATTGACGTTCGATGCCTCGGTGTCCATCGCATCGTCTGGCTTCCCATTGATTATAGGAATCGCTTTCTCCGCTGTCATCTCGGCCTGGAGGGGGGCAAGGAAAAGTTTATAGCCATTACCGCATTGGTTTCTAATTCTTCCAATCACTTGCAGGTTTTGGTCTCTTCAGATCAATTAGTACTGAAACTAATTTGCAATGGACTGGAACGAATATGCGGATAAGCAAACTCAGAATCAGCTAATCGGAGACCCAGCTCTTTATATGATCAGTTCGTGAAGATCTCCTTGCGATGCATCTGAATGCTAAGACTGACATGATCGTGAAGAATTACTCACCGGGTAAGGGTTTTGCTGTACACCCGCCTGTTTAGAACAGTGCTGCTCCCTTTCTTGAAATAACACTGAAATTGTCAATATACCAGCTCCGGGGAAATTCCGCCACAGCTTGCTGTGCCTGTGTGGAGGGGTGGGGGGATGGAAATCAGTTCAGATGTACTTGGTACTCTGGTGATGCCTTCTGCGAGACAACCGACTTGAGGAAACAAACGCACTCTTTTCTCAGATGCTGCTGCTGCGGTTTACTGGAGCTGAGCCATGTGCTGCTGACTGAGCTCTCTCGCTTGCCGTACAGAAATGTATCAATTAATGGCGTAATGTTGTTGAGTTAGTGGCGGAAAGCATTGGTGGCATGGTTTATCACACGGCCCGGCGGCTGGTTTGCAGGCTGAGCCTGGCAAATTGCAAAGCGGATCAATATCAGACTAATATCTGAATGTAAGGACATGCGGTGGAGGCGGGAGTCCCGTTAGCTGTGAGCAGCCAGTTCCCTGCAAATGACAAATGTCCTTCTCATACAGTCCTCACTGATCCGCAAGGGTGGGCTGCTAAAAGGGACGGAGGGAGGGAGAGAGGGGGTGGATTTGAAAGTCAGGATCCAAACAGATTGAAAAGTTGAATAAAACATTCTAAGTTACAATGATCCTTTCCTTTGCGGATTCTCCTGGCGGCTTTCACGATTTAATTTAACAGCACCCACCAAATCTCAGCCAGACTTGTGCAAAGCGTGGATATTTATGTGGAAACAAACGTTGGAATTGCTTGTGTCCAGATCCGCAAGACAGCCCCTCTCCACTTTCTTAAAATCAGTCCCGCTGTAGGTTGGAGCTTTTTAACTTTTACTGTTTACGACCAGCAACGAAAATGCCATTTTTGTAACCTGTAAGAATCCTTAACACGTAACCCGTTGGACTTCAGTGCAGGAGTGCGGCGTCAATGGTAACTTGTTACATTAGCGGAAAAATAAACTGTATCATGCATCTTCTCAAATGTTATATAGTCTATTTTTAGTTCAAGTTTCCAAGTAAACAGTTTGCCGATCAATTTCTGATTGGATAATTAAGGAAAAGAAGACCAACTCTTGCAGAAATTACTTCTCAAATCTAAAATGTAGCATAACCTCTTCTGTCACCATCTTGGGAGTTAGACATACGCTTATCAAAACAACATTTTCTGAAACAAAGGAAGCCATACATTTCAACTCAGTTGTAACTGTTGACACCCATACATAATCTCCTAATTCTTAGAGTCATAGAGTCATATGGTATGGAAACAGACTCTTCGGTCCAACTGGTCCATGCTGACCATGTTCCCAAGCTGAATGAATCCCAACTGCCTGCATTTGGTCCATATCCCTCCAACCTTTCCTATTCATGAACTTATCCAAATGTCTGTTAAATGTTGTAACCGTGCCTGCATCCATCATGTTCCCTGGCAGTTCATTCCACACACTAAACACTTTTTCATAAAAAGGTTGTCCCTCATGTACATTTTAAATCTGCTTTCACCTTAAAAATATGCCCTCCAGTTTTGAACTCTCCCACGCTAGGGAAAAGACCCTTGTCATTCACCTTATCTATGCCCCTGATGATTTTGTAAACCTCAATAAAGTCATCCCTCAACCACATATACTCCATGAAAACAGTCCCAGACTTTCCAGGCTATTTTGATATCTCAAACTCTCAATTCCTGGCAACATCCTGATAAAATTTCTGAACTCTCTCCAGTTTAATAATATCCTTCCTAGAACAAAGTCAGAAGTCACACATCACCAGGTTTGTTTGAAATTACAAGCTTTTGGAGTGCTGCTCCTTCACTTGATGTGCTTGCGATTTCAAATAAACCTGTTGGATTAAGAGAGTGTCGTGTGACTTCCGACTTTATCCACCAGCATCCAACACCGGCACCTCCACATCCTTCCTACAACAGGGTGACCAAAACTGCACACAGTTCTCCAGAAGAGGCTTCACCAATGTCTTCTACAGCATCAACAAAATGTCCCAACCCTATACTCAAAGGTTTGAGCAACGAAGGCAAGCGTGCCAAACGCCTTCTTAACCGCCTTATTTGTGACACAAATTTCAAAGAATTATGTACCTGAACCCCTAGGTTTTACAACATTACCCAGGGCTCTACCATCAATTGTATGAGTCCTGACCTTGATTGTTTCACCGAAATGCAATACCTCACATTTATCCAATTGAACTCCATCTGCCGCAGCCCATTGGGGATTGAGATCCCTTTGTAATCTTAGATAACCTCCACTGTCTGCTATACCACTAATTTTTGTGCCATCTGCAAAATTACTCACCATGCCTCCTATATTCTCATCCAAATCATTTATATAAATGACAAACAAAAGTGGACCCAGTACCGATACCTGTGGAACACCACTGCTCACAGGTCTCCAGTCTGAAAAACAACCTTCCACCACCACACTTTGTCTCCTACCATAAAGCCAATTTTGTATCCAATTGGCAAGCTCACATTAAATCCCATGTGATCTAACTTTACTACTTAGTCTACCATGCAAAGCCTTGCCAAAGGCTTTATTAAAGTCCAAGTCAACAATGTCTACTGCTCAGCCCTCATCGATAATTTTGGTTACTTCATTAAAAAAACTTAATCAAGTTTGTGAAACATGATTTTCCTTGCACAAAACCATACTGACTGTTCCTAATCATTCCTTGCCTCTCCAAATACACGTACATCCTATCTTTCAGAATCACCTCCAACAACCTACCCACCATTGATATCAGACTCACAAATCTATAGTTTCCAGGTTTCTTCTTACAGACTTTGTTAAAGAATTGCAAAAACATTAGCTACCCTCCAGTCGTCCAGTATTTCACCCCTGTTCATAGACAAACCAAATATTTCTGACATGGGCCTCACAATTTCCTCCATAACTTCATACAAAGTCGTAAGATACAATTGATCAGGTCCCAGAGATTCTTCACCTTTATATTTTCTAAGACCTCCAGCACTTCCTCTTCTGCATCATGAGCTGTTTTCAAAACATCAGTATTTATTTCTCTGAGTTATGTAGTCTGTATTTCTTTCTCAACAGTAAAAACTGATGCAACATATTCATTTAATATCTCCCACCTCCTGAAGTTCAACACAAAGACAACCTTGTTGACCATTAAGTGGTCCTACTCTCCCTCTAGTTGCTCTCCTGCGCCTAATGTATTTCTAGAATCTTTTTGGATCATTTTTAACCTGATCTGCCAAGGCTACCTCATATCTCCTCTTTGTCTTCCTTATTTCCTTCTTAAGACTGCCCTGACACATTTTATACTCTTCAAGAAATTCAATTGATCCCAGGTATCTATATTTAGTATGTGATTCTTGTTTATTCTTGACTAGAACTTCAATGTCTTTATTCATGCATTGTTCCCTAACCTTACCAGCTTTGCCTTTCACTCTAACAGGAACATAATGCTTCTGAACTCTTGGTTATCACACTTTTGAAGGGCTCCCATTTGTCCGTCGTCCCTTTACCTGCAAACAGTCTACTCCAATCAACTTTTCAAAGTTTATATTTCATACCCTTAAAATTTGCCTTACTCCATTTAAGAACTTTAACTTCTTTGGAAGACTTTTTCTTTCCCATACCTGTTTTAAAACTAATAGTATTATGATCACTAGTCCCAAAGTGTTGCCCCACCAGCACTTCAGTCACTGGCCCTGCCTTATTTCCTAAGAGAATATTGTTCACCATAACTTCCTGACTGTTGTACCCTGTTCCCATGGGCAAAACAGTTGAGGGCCAATGAACATTGATTTAACATGATAGACAAAAGAAACAAAGAAACAGTGCCTTTCTTTAACCAGCAAATGGTTAGGGTTTCAAATGTTTCATCACTGATATCCCTTCCATTATTAGGTCAGGAAATGAGGATATACATGGGTGACTGTTCAAGGTTTAGCATCATTTCCAATGACTCAGGTACTGAAGCAATCCATGTCCAAATGCAGCAAGACCTGGATAATGGTCAGGCCTGGGCTGTTAAGTGTCAAGTAATGTTTGTGCCATTCAAGTACCAGCAATGACCATCTTCAACTAGAGCAAATCTAACCATGAACTTCTTCATAGTCAATGGCATTACCACTGCTGAATCTTGGGGAGTTACAATTGTTCAGAATGTGAATTGAACCAGCAACATAAATACTGTGGCCCCAAGTGTAGTTCAGAGGCTCAGAATCTCAAAGCAAATGACTCACTTCCTATCTCCCCAATGCTGGTCCACATTGAAAAGGCACAAGTTAGGAATTTGATGGAATGCTCCCCACTTGTTTGGATCCATGCACATTCAACAACACTTGAAGCTTGACACCATCTGAGACAAAGCAGTTGACTTCATTGACACTGCCTTCAATATTCACTCCCTCCTCTACCAATGCACAATGGCAGTCTTGTGTATCATGTACAAGATGCACTGTAGCAATTTGCTAAGTCTCCTTCAACAGCACTTTCCAAGCCCAGGACCTCTAATCCTAGAAGGATAAGAACTGCAGATGGATGTGAACACCACCACCTGCAAATTTCCCTGTAGGCCACTTGCCATCCTGAATTGGAAGTAGATCGCTGTTTCTTTACTGTTAGTGGGTTAGAATCCTAGAATTCGCTTCCTAATAGCACAATTAGTGTATCTACCTTTCATGGACTGCAGCAATTCAAGAAGGCAGCTGAGCAAAAACTTTTCAAGGGCAATCAGGGACAGGAATTAAATGCTGGCCTACCCAATGATGCCCAATCCTATAAACACACAGAGAAAAACACACATTGTTTTCTTACCACAGCAAACATTTCCCCCTAAATTTGTATCAGCAGCAGACTTGGATGGGTTATACTTGATTCTTTCATCTAAGTCATTAACGTAGATTGTAACTAGCTGAGTTCCTGGCACTGATCTTAACAGCATTGTACTAGTTACAACCCATAACCTGACTGATTATTTCCAATTTTCCATTTTCTGTCCTTTGACCAATACTCCATTATACTAATGTGTTCCTGTCAGCCCTGGAACTGTTAACCTGTGTAGCAACCTGTTCTGTCATGTCTTATCAGTTACCATTTAAAATTCCAAGTCTAAGTGTATCATGTGATTAGAACATGGAACAGTACAGCACAGTACAAGCCCTTCAGCCAACAATGTTGTGCTGGCCTATTATCCTACTAAGATCAAACTAACCTGCATACCCTTCATTTTACTACAATCCGTGTGCCTATTCATGAGTC